AAAAAAAGAAATACAGATTAATAGTCTTCTATGATGGTCAAACTTATAGTCATGTTAAATTTTCTAGGTATACATAGATATAATTCAATTAGATAGGTAATCTTCAAATACTTCAAAGACCGACAGAATATGGCATTTAAAATGTTTTAAAAACTTACTTTTCTGGACAATGAGACACATGTGCTCCTGGCAGCACCAATTACTTCAAGGAAGATGATAGGCAAGACATTCCATATGGAGTTTATCTTCTTCATGGCAAAAGTTAGCCACTGGGGAAAAATGCCCTTGCATTGATTGACAGTATGTTGTATAAACTGGACATGCAGGACCCATAGGAAGGTGACCATTGAACTTTGCAAGACGAGATGGTTCTTTAGGTTCCTCCTTTGCAAAGGAGACTGCCAGATATTCTACAGGACACAGAGAAGTGACCAAGAGACTCTAGGCCTATAGGCTGAAGATGGACACCCCCACATTGCAGAGGAACTTTGGATGACTGTCTAGGCAGGCAGCTGTTTCTACCATTCCAGAATTTTTGGAAGTTGCTTACAATGCTCTTTCTGTTTACTTAGATAATATTGTATCCTTCTGAGGTCTTTGATGAAGTTGAAAGCTAGATAGTTATAATTATGGTTTTCCTTGGTTATGATAAGAGATAAGTAAGTTATGAAACCTTAGACTCACAAATATAGGATAGATAGGATATCTTCTTTAATTTTGCCAAATACAAATAGACTAGATATTGTAACTATAATTCTTGCTTGATATATGTAATTTTACTAGGTTAAAGTTAAAACCTTCCTTTTGTTTAGAAAGAAAATGAGAAGTGATGGGGGAATGTCTTTCTGTATGCTGTGAATATATGTCACTCTGATTGGTTGATAAATAAAGCTGTTTTGGCCTATGGCAGAGCAGGATGGAGCCAAGCGGAAAAAAATCCAAGAGAGATAGTGGGAGAAGAAAGGAGAGTGGGGGAGCCGCTGCCAGCTGCTGCCATGAGAAGCAATATGTAAAGACACCAGTAAGCCATGAGCCACGTGGCAAAGTACAGACTTACAGAAATGGGTTAATTTAAGGTGTAAGATCTAGCTAGTGAGAAGCCTCAGCCAGTAGGCCATACAGTTCATAATTAATATAAGCCTCTGTGTGTTCATTTGGGTCTGAGTAGATGTGGGACTGGGAGGCCACAGGATCTGGAAAACTTTCAGCTACACTCCCACATCCATCATGAATAATAATAATAAAAATGTTCCACAGGTTTTTCTAGAGGCCAATATAGTGGAAGTATTTTCTCAATGGATCTTCCTTGTTCCCAGAAGACTTGAGCTTGTGTCAAGCTGAAAACAACAAAAACAAAAAATGACAACTAAGGAGGATGAGGGCAGGGTAGCAGCAGGTTGTTTTACATCTCATTTACCATGGCCAAAATCAACTCCAGGAATAAGTCAATGAAGAACTCCCCCAGGGAAGAATGAGTGTTGTCATCTGATGCCTGTGGCCGCACTTGAATCCTTAACAGTGCAGAGCCCTGATTGACCAGACAAGGCTTGACTAGCAAGGCCTGGCTGGGTCACTTTGGAGATGTTCTTTTGGGGAATACTGCCTGATTTATTTTGGGACCCATGTCCAAAAATTTCATAAGCTCTTATAAAAGTGTCACCAGATAGGGACCAAATATTAAAGTATACATTACTATGGGAAATTTTCACAGGGCAGATAAATTAGGAAAGAGAAAAGAAATTTAGACAGCTCTGCATTGAACTGTATGAATAGGACATATGTGCCAAGGTGGGCTTGGGTCCCTCCAAAGGGGCAAATGTGTTCATACAGTTCAATTTTCCCTGCCTTATAATCATTTATGGCATCTGACATCTTACATATGAACCAATTTGATTATTATTATCTTCTCTCCCAACACCACTAGAAAGTGAGCTCTATGAGAAAAAGACTTTGCCAAAAAATGAATGCTTTGGGGGGGGGGGGGGAGAAACAGGAGTCTTTTCTTCCTTCATTCAACTAACATTGAAATGTTACCGTACATGATGAAAACTTACTATGATGAAAACACAGTGAATAAAAAGAACTCGTTAAATGATCATATAAGTCTAAAATACAAAATTTACAATGTTTTTCAGGGCAGGTGAGTTCAAAGGTTTTTTTCATAGATGCTGACACCAGGTAAGAAGCCTTAAAGATACGATCAAGATTTTGAGGACAGAGCACACTCTCTCTTGGCTAGTGTTCACTGCAGTAAGGTATGGAGCTAGCTGTCTATCCATCTAGCCGATTCTTGGAGAATTTGGAGATGCACTGAATCTACCACAAGTGGGAGGGGTGAACACTCATGCACCTCAATTTAACTTCCACAAGGGCCAGTCATTAGTGCCCTTGACAGCTTCAGGTGCAGCTCAGGACATCTTCCTCCTGTGGGTAGTTATCAGGGACTGCAGCAGAAACAGAGAGAGCAGCCCTAAAGAAGTGTATCGCATTCACAATCTATATTTGACTTGTACTATATTTTCACTGCTGCCGGGGAAAGGTCCAGTGGAAAATGCGTGCTGTTCTAAATATATCCCCTCTATACCTGCTAGATTTAGATTGAAGCCTCAGGGGCACTGCTCAAGAGGTCACCACCAGTGAAGCACTTCAGCGGGCTTGTGTATCAGGGTACCCCTTACAGCAGAGTGAAACAGGAAGGGCTGGAGTAGGATGCCACTCCAATGCTATTTCCTTCCTTATCCTAGAGCTCCGAGAGTGGCAGGTGTCCCACCTCTTGCTATCTCAGCATACTGTCATAAACTCTAGGACATATCTTCCAGCTCCAGAGTAGTTAAGTCACAGCCTGTTTTTTTTTTTTTTTTGTTTTTGTTTTTGGTTTTTTCTTTTCTTTTACCTCAGTTTCCTTGTTTGTAATTGTTTGGCTGGCGCCCTACCTCGCACATTTCAGTGTTTAGTTCTCTATTGGGTGCATGAGGTGCAGTGGGTGTTATTATAGCTTCCCAAGAAAGGGAGATGTCTAACTCGGAGTATTTCATTCAGCACACTCAACAGAGTTAAGCGCAGGCGTTCATAAATATTTATGAATGAATGTGTGCAAGGGTGAGTGACTGAACCGGTGAATGGCTATGATGCTTTCGAGCCAATTGAGGGGAAATGGAACCCGCTAAGGCTAATTTACCTCCCTATAGGAATGTATTTCCCTTTCTTCTGTACCTTCTCTTCCAGCTTCCAAAACGGTTTAGGGGTGAAGAAGGCAGAGAAAGAGCTGGCTGGACCCTGGGACTCTCCTACGCTGGGCGGGGACGGCCCTGGGAAGTGGGAGGGGAAGGGGCGGACCGCCAGGACAGTAGGGCGGGGCCACAACCCAGGGGGCGGAGTTAAAGGGGTCCTGGGGGCGGGGCCATATACCGGGGGCAAGGCTAAGGGTGCGAGTCACGGGGCGGGGTCCCAGGGTGTTCCGGCAGGGAGGAGCTGCACGCCCGGACTTCAGAAGAGCCTTAAGAGGGCGGGGTCAAGAAGGTGGCCGTGTGGGTGGGGCCGCAGGCCAGGAGGGCGTGGCCTCCAGGGCGGTCCAGTGGGAGGGACCGCAAGTGCTTTCTGGTAAGGACGCAGGCCTCACGCGGAAGGGCGGGATCTCAAGAGCGCTGGGAGGGCGGGGCTTCATGTGGTGGGGGCGGGGCCTTATCGCTGAAGGGCGGGGCCTCGGGTGCGCGCGGGCTGGGCGGGCCCGGCGCGGCACCGGGGCACAATGGCCTTAGCGGCCGGCTGAGC